ACATCACCAATAATTATTACTCAATAATCATTCACAACAGCAATCAGGTGGGTTATTTCAAAAGTTATACAAACAATCTGAAATTAAAACTGAACAGGTTCTCATAGAGAGGCCAAACTGATTAATACAAAAAGATTTAAACTCGGCAATCTGAAATTTAGCAGATGGACAGCAATCTGTAATAGCAAAACAATCTGAAGTTTTAGCAATCACAATTGCACATAACAAGGCCGAATATAACTGAGCTGTAAGCCATGTGCAAATCTGAAAACACAAAGCTCCTAAGCACCAGCTCGGCTTGAGTTCCATAAGAGTTCATCCCCATATAGTTTCCTTCACATTACAGCAATAGATTATATAATATTTCACCTATATCTCTTCAACTTTTAATACATAGTAAAATACCCCGGGCCAATTTAATTCATATTATAAATTTATAACTGCACTGTGGGATGATTATAACTTATACACCACATATAGTTGAAAGATATAGAATCCTACAAGTATACACAACAAAAAACACGCCTTGATTCCAATTCAAGGGGTTGGCTAAATCCATACACCCTTTTCTAGAACTCCCGATTCACACAGTATAATAAATACTATGAATCTATGATGCCATGTTCCAAATATAATTCACATTCACTCTTTTCCTACTTTCTTTTCCTGTATGTCCCAATCTCTTTTTGTCATTCACACCCACCATCCTTCTCTTAAGGTAAGTATATACTTATTTAATAACTAAAAGTAAAAACAATAGATATTACCATATTAGAAGCAATTGAATTTTTAAGACCAGCACCGATCAAATGCAATAGTGATTGGTTTCAAACATCAATGATCAAACATAGCATGACAGGAGACATTGTTACCCAATTTGGAGTAGGAGTCGTATTTCAAATGAAAATAATAATGTAGTTAAGAGCAATAAATGCATGCCGAAAAACAAATAAAAAAAATTCAAAACATAGGAAAACGAAACCCCTTAAACCATTTCGTTCAACAAATTAAATCATTTGAGGAACAGAAATCTGCTACCTTCGTCTCTGCGGAAGCTTTTCTTCAGAGGGGGGAGGCGAGGTGGTCTCCTGCAGAAGCTTTACTCAAGGGAGAGGGGGAGGTGAGGAGGTCTCTGCAGAAGCTTTACTCCTGATAGGAACCAGAAAATTACTGTATATTAATTCTAGAAAACTGAGTACATAAGCTATTACAATGGCCGATGATGGAAATTGTCGTGCAAAGAGAACGGAAAGAAGAAAAGAAACGATAGAGACACTTTGAGTAGTCTCAACACTCCCAAGTCCCAATCCAGATCCAAAGTTCTGCCTCCCTCTCCCTCTTCTATTCCCTCTATTTATTCTTTTCCCAATGAGGCTTCCCTCAATCTATCTAATCACTTGGCCCAACCCACTATTGCAGTTATTAAAATATTAAGCACATAGGTCATGTCTCTATCATCACTCCCCCCTTTGACAACCACCTTGTCCTCAAGGTGGGGAGTATGAGCAGCCATGCCATCCAGCTTCATCTTTGTGCCCCTTCCTTCCTAGTACCTCCCAGATTTTCGGACCCTTAGCTCCCGTACTTGAAGCTGCATCTTCATGTTCTTCACTGCAAGAAGGAGCAGAAGCAAAGTCCTGGTGACAGAATGCTCCCTGATGTTGCAAAAGATTGAATCTCCCAGCATCTGCATCTCCTGTTGTATCATTTGCTTCTGTTCCAACATCTTTTCAAGAGAATTTACCTCACTTTGGTTAAGACCTTGAACAAGTTTAAAAGCCTCTGCTCTGAAATCTCCGTTATAATAACACCTCAACATCTTCCCAGGGATCCAACCATACTCAAAACTTTTATGCAAGCCATTGGAAAAACTCAAACCGTAATTTCTGTATACTTCTGTTAGCCTCTTCAATGTACATCTTGTCACCAGTAAAGATGTGTCTCTAAGTCTCTCACCAACAAGCTTCATTCTGTCAGAATCCTGCAGATAAGGATGAGTCTCTCCAGCAATTGCAGCAACTTGTCTTTGTTGACGCTCATGTAAGTGAATCACTATTATCAGACAAACAATGAGAATAAGTTTGGAGTATTTCCTTCTTCCATTAGCACATCCTCAATCTTGAACTCCATATTTTCCTTCTCTATGAAAACAGTTCTTGTATCACTTTAAATCTGATTTGCAAGCTTGGACAATGACTGTCTGGTCAAGTCTACCAATTTACCTCTGTAAGTGAGTCTTCCTGTAGGCCGGGCTCCTGCATCAATGAATAATTTGAGTGTCTTCCAGACATCATGTTTAGGCTTATCAGGTCGGGTATAAAGTGATGAATCCCGGGCAGGTATAGAAATTGGATTTCCAGTATAAGCCATCCACCTAAAACCAACAGCAAGAGTTCCAATGCCCAGGTTTCCAGTTCCCGAACAGCCCCTAGCAACAGGCTTTGTGACAAAATTACAACCCCTTTCTAAATCTGCTTCACTACAACAGTGTATCTGAGCTGCTGGTAGGACAGTAACCACTCTAGAGCTGCACCTCACAAGATGAACAACTGATCTGAACTTCACATGAAGTGAACAAGAGTGAAATCTCACGTGATAAAACCGAACAATAGTTAGAACATCAACACATATTATCAACAATGGCCAACTATTAGCAATTTCATCCATATTTTGCTTTGACAAAATTGGATTGGGTGAACCTTGCATGAATGGACCAGTACCATCCTCCTTGGAAACTAAATTTTGAACACCACCAGGTTCTTCCACATTCCAAACTTGGAAAGCATAGCATAAAAGCAAGACTTGGCGGTTTGTACCTCCCTCAGTATTACTGGTAAGTGTCCTTCTTTTCAATCCTTCCACCCCATACTGAGGTTTGTACATACAACCTCCTTTTTCCTTCCATCCCCTCTTGTCTTCATCCTCAGCACTGTTAGGAAGAACTCTCTCTTCGCTATTAATTCCCTTAATAGTAGCAGTATTTGAGGTAGCTTGAAACTCGTCTACCTGTCCTGTGACAGTAGTGGCTTCCTGTTGAGCTAAGCCTATAGAAATATCAGGAACCACTTTGTGCTCCAGTTCAGTAGTATTTGAACCAGCACTTTTATTAGCAGCCAATTTATATTCCATGGCAATCGAGGGTGGAGTCACCACAGAAAATTTATCCTCTCGTTCCTCGTCACCAATGGTGAACGTATCTTCATATGAAGGTTGTCCCTGACTCATAGACTGATGCGGGAATGAAACTGACTCAACTTGAGGACAGTGAGAGGCGGATATCTGCAGTGAAACCTGCGAACAAGGGAGATCTGTTTGCTGCGACGACGAAACTTGTGAACTGGTGAACTCTGTTCGCCTTGAAGATGGTGAATCGGAAGGATTTGCCTGCGAAATGAGGGAAGCCGTTCTCCATAGCGAACTAGAAGAAGCTGTTAGCGAAGTAACCTGCGAACTATTAGAGTCAGTCTGCGATGGCGATGAAGCTTTGCTTTCCGAATTCTAACAGCGACGCACGGTCCGCGATCGTCCTCGCTACCGACGTTTGCGCAGCTTGGTGCGCATCTCATTTAACCAGATCCTCATCTCCTTCGCCCAGTCGCTTTCTACCTTTTCATTGCTCTTCGCGTGCTTCTCGTTGTTCAAGCCAATCTCCAGGTTTGCGCACTTCCCCATTTTTCCGCGTGAGGCATCATGATCGGATCTTCTATGCGGTTCCTTCCCCTTTTGCGTTGCCCTACGCTTCTCAATTTTCACGTACAAACCAGAGGCAACCACCTTCTGTTCTGACCGTCGATGTTCCCTGCGCTTCTCCATTTGAAGGTCGATTAAGACTCCAGGAAATTGAGTGCTCTGATACCAATGATAGGAATCAGAAAATTACTGTATATTAATTCTAGAAAACTGAGTACATAAGCTATTACAATGGCCGATGATGGAAATTGTCGTGCAAAGAGAACGGAAAGAAGACAAGAAACGATAGAGACACTTCGAGTAGTCTCAACACTCCCAAGTCCCAATCCAGATCCAAAGTTCTACCTCCCTCTCCCTCTTCTATTCCCTCTATTTATTCTTTTCCAAATGAGGCTTCCCTCAATCTATCTAATCACTTGGCCCAACCCACTATTACAGTTTATTAAAATATTAAGCTCATAGGTCATGTCTCTATCAACTCCATATGGGACTCTGGGAAATTTTGCTCCATAGAGGGAAATGTATGCGCGGTAAACAAATGTTTTGGCGGAAATTTATCGGCGGGGGGAATTCCTGAAATTTATCGCTGCATTTCTACTCCACGTTTGCTGAGTCAACATGTGAAGGGCACAGTTACTTGGAGACAGGGAGTTAAACAGCATTGAAATTAAATTTGTACATATCAACATTACAGGAGAATAAACATGGTGCGTTGGAAATGATAATTATGCCGTGATGTTAAATAAGGATTACGTAGCACTTATTTTTAATGTCAACACCGTCTGATTGAAGATGCTCTAAATAATAGCGGCGCTATTGTTACTGGCGCTATTTGCCTACTTCCAATTGTTACTGGCACTATTTGCCTACTTCCAACAGCTATGCTATAGGCAACCTGATAGTGGCAAGCACCTGCTCCACTCGTCTATGCCGTTATACCATCCTATTCACTTCACTGGCGGGCCTACCCTTCAACATTGTGTTTACCCATTTTCATTTAGTAATAAAAACATCATTCTACATAAATGTTTAAAATCTATTAAACAAGATGTACATGTAGAGTGTAGACATTTATGTAATGAGACAAATGAGTGATCATGTTCAACGCATCGTTAATGAGACCACTTCAGAGACTTTGTTCTACCTAAAACAAGGAAAGAGAAGCATATCTTTGCATTTTCAACTCAGATCCTGTGAACTACAAGATGTCTCTAGATAGAGATTAAACCCTACAAAACTTTACTCGCCAAGCCTCTTCACCCAAACAAACCCTGAGTACAGATTAAGAATTATGCTTCTTCAACATGCAGCTGTAACCAAGAACAGAGTAACTTTCTTATTACCACTACAAAGTATTACTGAAAAACAAATTTCATCTGTAGTGTGATGTAACTGTTTTTTTGGAGAGGACATGTAAGCAAAACAAATACTACTATACTACTCTATAACAACAACAACAATAACAAGCTAAATAGATTCTGAGGGGGGGGGGGGGGATTAAAAGAGACTAGTGTTCTTATTTCCCCCGGTCAGTAAAGCGAAAAATTGATCTTCTTCTTCTTCTTCTTGATATCTAATTGAACAATTACCATTTAGCATTCCCTGAGAGGAACGTCCTGAGTCATTCGCAGATGGCAATAACGAAGCAGGCTTTTTTACAGACACAAATGCAACACCTTTCTTTGTTTCAGATTTAAGTTTCAATTGGACTGATAATTTGCTTTCACGAGATACATTTATCTTATTCTCAAGAGATGCCACATTACTATCCTCATTAAAATGCTTCGCTGAAAGAACATCTTCTGAACCCAATGACATTTCTACTACATTGTTTCTCTCTGAATTAGGATTCAAAAAGGGTGATCCATCTACAGAAACTTCATCAGGCACCACCACGACATTACCAGGTTCATCATCTCCAAGAAAAATCTCAAGCCTTTGGTACTTAACTTTGGATGATTCAATACACTCATCTTCTTTGATTTCCTTTTCCGGAAACTCAACTTCACTCTCATTCTTCCTCTCAATTAACTTATACTTATCTTCTTCCCAAACGCATTCTAGATAAGCAGAATGTTGCTTAACAGGATAGTATTCTCTAAAAACCTCAAATCCTTCTCTATTCAATTTAACAGACTGTTTCTTTTGAGACAGAGATGATACGTGGTTGAATACACAAACAACATCTAGAAGCATTTGTTGAACAAGGACTCTAATCCGAGCAAGCAGGGCTAAAACTGTCATCGAAAACCCCATGAAGAATGATCGAGCGAGAAGAGTGGATACCTGGGTCGCTGCCTTCAAAATTGGTTCAACCATTTGTGACAGCAGGCGAGCAAGTCCGAGGAGCCGATCTAAGAAGGTTTGCTTGTTTCTGCCGTCTGATGTTTTCCTCTTTAGACTCTCCAGGAGCTGAACTTTCTGCTTAGGCCTCTTTCCATTAATGACGTCGAAGGAGGAACGGAATATCTCATCCGGATTGGCTGATTTTAGAAGCCTCAAGTCTCTTCTCACCTTCAGGAGGTACTGAAAGTACGAGCATCTTCTGTGCTGATTCTTGTTTTTATATACAATTCTGTCGAGAATGCCGAACTCTGAGAGAAGCTGGCCTAGAAAAGATTGCAATCTTTGATCAACTGTTTCAAAATCCGATGCCATGGACAGGGATTTGGGGTGCTAGTCTGCTGCGGTGCTGCCTCTTTCCCTGCGCGCTGCATTCTTGGAGTTGGATTTGGGATATTGAGATTTTGGGCCATGGTCTAATTGTGGGCTTGGCTGGAAGGATAGGAGAGTGCGGATGAACGAACCTCAGACTAATAGAGTAATGGACCTCGACTGTTATATAGTACGGAGTAACATTTTTTTAGATTTGAGGATGGGACTAATTTTTATACATATATACTACTCCCTCCGTTCCTAAATAAACTTTCAACTTTCCTTTTTCGTCTGTTCCAATTAAATTTCCACTTTCCCTTTTTGGTAAAGAATTTGTGGTTCACAATATTTCTTACACATTTCTCTCTCCTCTGCACAACTCTCCACCTCACAATACCCACTTTTCTTAAATTGTGTGCCAAAGTGGGTTGGAAGATAAAATAGGAACGGAGGTAGTAGCTAAAAAACTAGTGCAAATTACCCGTTTAGATCACTGTTTGAGTCTGCATATCACTTATGTCCACTTACAAAGTTTCTTTCATTTTTAACTTTCAGTTTTTTCATGTGCCTTTCCCGTTTATTTATTTCACTAATAATCTAACCCCCTCATTTTGAATCTTAAAGACCTAAATCCCTTCTACCCATTTTCCTAATCCGGTGTCTCCATGGCCGTTCTTCGAATGAACAATCGTCTTCATGCTCGTCTAGCCGGAAGCACCGCCACCATAATCTTCCCCTTCCTTCCCTCGTAGGCTACGATTAGTGAACCTCAGCCGAACTCTTCTATTGATGCTAGATGTAAGACGTATTTCTTCACGAAATAATCGAGATTCCTTATTTAATTTCATGTTTTGACCTAATCGATTTTCTTCTTCGATTTTGGCAGAATATTGTTTCTCGGAAAAGTAAGGACGCTACTATTCTCGATTTTCTTCTTTGATTTCGACAGAAGACTTGAGCAATGGAAAACTCTGCTTTTGTGGTAAGGAATCTTCTCGTTGGGGTAGTTTTGCCTGTGCTTTCAATTTTGACATTCTTAAAAGAATATGTTTACCAATCATTTGTTTGAGAATGATTGATCCTGCCACACTATCCCCTTCACGATCTTGATTTGGTAAGACATTGATTTTGACAATTCTCTAGCTCTTTCTTAGAAGATTACATTGAAATTTGGAAAAGATGAAAGAGTTGTTCATATATGTCTTCACACCTCCTTACTGATCAAATAATTTTCATTGTAGAATTTTTATGATGAAATATAAAAGTTAATGGATAACACCTCTAAGTACTTATATCCCTTTTCTTGCAATGTCAGGACTCAGGGTATTCATATATAAATGAAAAACTTTATGAATCATGATATAATGATATTCAATCTTCTTAATTTAAATAGATGTGGTGAAAGGAATTCAAAGGGGTAAACTGTTATTGTTCTGCCTACTTCCTTATGAACCAAGTATAATATGAATCCTGATATTATTACTCTCTTTTGAAAGTCAATTTTATTCTACAATTTACTTTCAACTTTTAGTTGATACCTTCCGACTCATACTGCTATTTACTTTCTGGCTCTTGTGTTTTCTATATAGTTAGGTGATGGGTGTTTTAGTATCCATAGATACATTTTTGCATAAGGCATATCGAATTAAAATTGGACTGATTGATGTGTTATCAAAATGAATTACATTGCGTGTTCATCTAAAGATACATTTTCACAGGAGTGTGCTTTCGAAGAGGAATGGACACTTTAGATTATTGTAGGAGTTTATGGATTACATTGCATGGATACCTTAGCTGGCATTGAGTTTATGGATAGTGTTCATTATTATGCAAAATCATGGTTGCCTGCCAGATCAATTGTTTTGGTGTCTTGCTTCAAGAAAGGATGTTGATCTCAGTGGATAAATTATGGTTTTAAAAAGATTTTGCCCATGAAAGCTTCACTAGTTTGAGCTTGAGGAGGAGTTGAGGATTGATACACCAACCAAATATGTTCTTCATGAGGATGATATAAGCGAAGGCTGGAGAATACAGACAGTGGTTGTCTCTCCGACAGATTTGAGAGTCGTAGGCCATTACCGTCACAGTGGAGAGGTCTTAGAGATGCTGAGCTTTCAAAGGAGGCGGGGGGGGGGGGGGGGGGGGTCTGGTTGTGTTTTTGTAGACATGAGTGGGTTTATTGGTGGAAACCAAACCTATGAACTAGCATTTTTGTGACTTTATAGTGGATCGTTTGGTGTGATACCTTTATATATTGGTTTTTGTTGCTTTTGGTTGCATCAATTGTATTGTTTTTTGTTTCATCGTGTTGCATATTGTTGTATCATGTTGTTTTTTGTTGCACTGTGTTGCTTACTATTGTTTATTGTTGAAATAGATTGTTTATGTTTATCTAGGTTTCAATTTATCTTTTCTACTTCTTTAAAAAATCTATATAGTTTTATATACAAACACAAAAATTATAAATTTTGATTTAGGAAATTAAATAACTAGAAACAGAAAAAAACAATAAAAAACATGAAGTTCAGAGTTATAAACAAGAAGAAACAATTTGAAACAAAAACTAACAATAATATAATAATCATAATTGAAAGATTAATTTCTTTATGAAACATTACATTGCAAAATTCATATATTTTAAATTTTGTTTAATTGTTTCAAGTTCATTATTTTAGCTTTTTGCCTTCTTTGTTACTGAGTTTTTAATATTACACTCGTTAGGTTACATTAATTATCTGGTTTTTTATAATGTTTTGAATATATTAATTTTTTACTACGAGATCTTTCCAAATTATGCACTCTGGAAAGATCAAATTATTTTAGTTAAACGCTTTCCAATGAGATATTAAAATAAGTGCATAAAAAAGAATTAAAATAATTTGATTTAAGTTTTAAAACTTGGTAAGATCTTTCCAACGAGATATTAAACGCTTTCAACGAGATAGTAATTTTTATAAAATTAATTTGATTTATTTGAATTTTTGAAATATATATATATATATATATTAATATTATTTTTATTCTTCTAAAGTGCATATTTTTCAATTTTTATTTTAAACAACCACTCCTTCACAAAAGTGTACATTGACTTTTGAAATCGCTTACTAGCTTCAAAACATTTTTATCTTAATTACACATTTTGTTTATAAATTTAACATTCTTCTTTTTTGTTAACTTTTTAAAACTTTTTACTACACTTCTGATTTTTTATATTTTTGACACTAAACTATTTATGTTTTTCTTATTTATTTTATAAGGTTATTTTATGTTTTTCTAATTTATTTTATAAGGTTATTTTATGTTTTTCTAATTTATTTTATAAGGTTATTTTATGTTTTTCTAATTTATTTTATAATTATCAAATTCATATAATTTTAATATCTAACTTACAATTTTTCAAATATTATTATGTTTTTTTTATTTTATAGTTTTACTTTGAGTTTTTAAAAATTATTTACTATTTCTACTTTTATTATTTTTCTATTTATTATCACCTTTTGGATTTTCCATAAAATCTTACATCTTTTTATTCTAAAACAAATGCATTGCAAAGAAAGTAACAAGCCCTACGGAGAATCAAAGTGTTAATGCATTAATACACATTTGTATTAATGTACGGAGTATTTGTTAAGAGCAGCAGCCCTCCATAGTACGAAGAATCAAGTAACCGATGTTTTATACCACTTCGTATTCCATATAGTCTTATTTGTGAAAAGAAAGTATTAGCAAGTCTATTTTTGAAAAATTTTTTGAAGGATGAAAAAAGTGATATTAATTTCAATGTTTGTCTATTTGTGAAAATTTCCCAAAAAACTACTCCGGCCGCGGATTAAAAAATTGAGGCTAGGTTCTCATTTCCCTGGCCGCGGATTCCCACATCCAGCGGAGGCGGTGAGCTAAAGGTCTATACAAAGATTGGATTCTTTTTGCGTCGTTACAGCTAGGTTCTCATTTCCCGGGTAGGATCGCTTCATAACAATACAAAACTAAAAATCCAAATTGTAGTCCATCACACGTAGGGGCGTAGCTAGGGGAGGGCCAACCCTGGCCCAGGCCCAACCCAAATCTTAAAAATATCTATATTTTTAGTGTAAAAAATTCCGTGTAATTTTTTTTAAAAAAATATTCTTTGTACCAATCCAGTACGGCCCAGTGCCCTGGCTCCGCCCTTGAATTCACACGTGTGTCTGGTCCAAGACCCAAACTTCACAAACGGACAAATTGTTTATGTAATTATGTGGCGGATCTATATTTTAGTGCAAACATCTATTTACACAAATATGACTAATTGTTACTATATGTAGTTAATGATAACTTAAGTTTAAAAATTGAACACATGTTATTGTTGGGATGTATTATCCTAGTCTACTACTGTTCAGAAGACCAATACATTACCCCAGTATAGAGTTCGGTCGATGTGGCGCATTTTGGCCCATCCGACCCATTTCGGCCTATTGATCAATTAGGGTAGATTTTATCTCCTCTCTCTTTATCTATAAATAGGAGGGGTTCTCTCCATTTGTGAGATCTTTTTTTGGTTGCTTCTCTTCTTCTCCATCCCCTTCTTCCTAAAAGCTTGTAAACTTCATTAATGAGAGCTCTTGTACCATGTAAATGGTGAGGAGAGACTAATGAAATGAAAGTGACTTTGACATTAGCCCAAAAAGTCATATGATTTTCTTCTTTCGAGTTTCCACGTAAAAATAGTGTCCACATACATTTTTTATATTCCGTATTTATTTACTATTTCGTGTTGGATTAATTTCAACCAGAGACGGCCTTATGGGAAGTTGGGTCAGGCAAGTGCTTTGGGCCTCACCTCCCAAGGGGACCTTAAAAAAATAAAAAATATGGAGTACCTATAAGTATTACCTATTATGTATAATAATATTAATAGAAATAATAAATTAGTTTTGTGGAGGACTTGATCGAATGACCGTGAAGGGCTAGAGGCGTGGAGTCTAATTTACGGCTCCACTCCGATTCTCCAAGCAATCAAGCATCCGCCGAGATGCCAAAGAGTGAGCGGCTTATTCTTTCTCTGTGTTGCATTGTTGGTCTTCCGTCCGTTGTTGTTGGATCTGCTGTGG